TGATTTAGTTGGTAATTAGGAAAGAATATTTTAATATAACATTTTTAATATTGACTTTTCTCGCAGCTTTTTAGAGCTATTATTCACTTAAAATCTAACAATTTTGCAGTAAGGGTTAATATTTTTGAAAATTCTAAAACGACCGTGACAAACCCATCTTTAATCTCGCAAATGAAATAAAAATATAGCATCAGCGGCATAAAACACGCTTTTCCCATGATACTTATGTTCTTCCTCCCTGTCGTTCACGCTTGGAACCACCTGCACCCACCCTAAGAAACGAAATTCCGATATTTTTGCCCGAGCTCGAGCACCGTTAAAGGAAAAGAGAGATCCAGGGTTTCCGATGCGAAACATTCTCGAGCATTCTCGCGCAATCGATTCCGTACGTTACGAACCACCTTCCGGATGCCGGGGAACGCTGATGCGTTTCGTATGCAAAAATATGTTTCGAACGATGCGCCGGTGATCGCGGCGCGGCGCTCGAGTCGCGAATCGCGGCCGATCGTCGCAGTCCATAGAATTCGAGAAAGCGAAGAACCTATTCGAGCGACCGGTAGGCGTGCGCCGTTTCAAGCTTCAGTAAATGTATAACTCGCGTTGCACAACAGGCGTGCCACTGTGTAATATTGTTTTCCGTTTGCTTTCCAGCCCGTTCGCTGTCCTCGCGACGTGACGACGTGGGTTTCTCGTGTCCCGTCACTCTCGCGCGCGTGCCTGTTTGAGGTTATGTTAGGCGGCGGTTCGTTTGTGGTAGAGGAAATCTTTTCGGATAACGGTGGACGAAATGTTTTTAGTTCGAGAAGCTTGCATCGTTGGATAGGAATATTAATTACAATTGTTACGGTAATAAATTAATAAGTAATAAATTAAAAGGCAATGTATTTGAACTCAAGATAGTTTATATTGCAAATCTTTAATATAATTTTAGATCTAACTTTTCGATTTTATTGTTATGATTGTATCTCTATAGTTAGATAAATAACGCAGCAGATGTCGCTCGATAACAATCTACCTTACCGACCTGGTTTATTCTTACCCTCCTGATAACATCGAAGTATCAGCAGTATTTATCGCAACTAATTAATCGTTTCGTGTAGCAAGATTCGTGGTAAATAATTCTTTTTTTGCTGCTAAGTACACATTAAGATGTATAATAGCGTGGAATTTATTACTTTCAACCCTCCGGCCAAGAGACGTAGATGAAATGGTTCACGATATACGTGACCACATTCATTCGCTATACCTACAGCTCATTCAGTAACCACCCCCGTCCTTTCTCTGCCTTTTTTCTGTCTTTTTTCTGCCCTTTTTCTTCCCTTCACGTCCCTTAAGCAATTAACTATCCTTTCGCAATTTCTACCTTCTACCATTTCCTTCATTCTAGACCCATTTCCTTCCACTCTCCCGCAATTTTCCACTAAGTGCTTCAGTGCCCTAAATTCCGTCTCCTAAAGCTCGCGTTCAACTCGCATTTTCTATTTTTCTTTCCCTCCAGCCAGTGTTATATTTTCTACGCTTTATACTTTTCCACATTATCGCGTGTACTCTGTTTTATCGTAATCAATCTGTCACTCTTTATATCGCTTACACGAAGAAATCGGAAGTCATCCGAAGCCGCGAGTGACGTCGCGTTCGATAAACATAAATAAACAAAAGAAATGAAACATACACGATTATAATTTACCAAAATCCGCCGATAATTTCGTCGAAATCGAACGAAGATATTATCAGCGATTTTTCAGCGATCAAAGAAACAGAAAAATCAGGAGTCCGCCATTTTGTCGAGTCCGGTAGCCGCGGAATTAAATATTCCAGTCCCTCGCTGCGAGTCGTAAACTTACGTATCTACTAGTATGTTCCAACATTCTCGTCCTATCATATCGCACTTATATCAATTGTATTACACAAAAGGCGTTATGCAAAAGATATTGCGAGTGTATTACGACTCGGCATAATTTCATATTATCCTCCGTGCAGTTCGATCACAGAGGGTGGCTCTAACAGGGAACATTACGAACTGATACAGCCCGACTGGTGTGCACAGTGAAAAATGAGACAGCTATCGATACCTGGGCACGATGCAGAATGGCAGGTGGGAAGGTACGTTTACGTTGACCCGGTTACAAATTACCCACGATCGAAGTGCTTCCATTTTGCCGGGTCAACGCGCTCCATCTCGCTTCTTGGTACTTGCAGCGCAATGCCGCGGGATTAAGTCATCGTCATGTTGCATTCGTGTCGTTTAATCGGGAACGCGGACTGCTATTGTCCGACTTGCGCGAAATTCGACCGAGATCGGTTGATTTCCTTGCATTGTTCTCGTGACTTGGGATTTTTTCGCGAAAATCCCGAAAACTCGATTAATGAGTCTAAACCTCGAGGGTTTAGGCTACTTCACGAGGGTGGGTGGTTAGTTATTCGATCATTCGATGACTTGAGAGACACAGTGCACTCTTGTTTGCGAGAATACAGAAGATTCAAGGAATGATAATGGATTGTTCGATGATTCGAAAGGTGATTCAACTATTCAACTATTGAAACATCAAATTTTGCGATTTAGTGCTTCCATATGGCACACCATAATCCTTCGCCATCGTACAAAATGTTTGTATATACGCAACATTTTTTAGATAAAGAATCGTTATCGTTGCATTAGTATTTGCCGCGTGAGGCAATTGTGCGAGCGATTAATCTCCGTGTTTTGAAACAACGAAACCAGGAAACTACGTTAATCTGCTTGTTGCGCGTTCGGTCTGTCAATAACAGCGCGCTCATAATCGTTTTACTGCGCTCTGCCGTAATTTCGCTACGCGGATTCGGCTTCCGTTCTCTCATTTCTTTACCAACGAAAACGGAAATAAAAAAAAAGGAGAGGAGAACCACGCAACAAATTGAAGATAAGATTTTAGATAAAAGATCGCGAACAAATAGCTGAGTCTGCAGAGACTCACGATGGCTTCCGGTGTATGCAACCTATCTCCTCGATGTCTCACACGATCAGTTGAACCAGGGACGTGTGAACCAGGTGCCGAAGAATCGGCAAACCGGTCATCCGAGATTAACTGCGGTATTATATCACACCGATATAATAACAGTCGATAAGGCGCGAAGCTATCGTGTAATTTTCTTTTCTTCATCATTACCTTTTATCGAACAATCCGATAACGATGATAACAACCGTGTCTGAATGTAACGTTCAGTCTCTCACTGCACCGTCGCTGGGCCTGATCATTTTCATCCAAACGTTTCCTCTTCCGTTTCCATCCGTCATGGAGATCCGTCAGATGAAAAAGTGGGACATTGTGGAGGAGTACTCGAAGGACTTCATCGATTTTTTCAAATTAGTAAGTAGCCACGATTTCCATTGGTTCCCTGGCAGCGCTCGTTACGCCTTTTACGTAAGCCACTTGACTCTCGCGAGGCGAATCGATTAATCGTTTGGGCGTGAAAGGTATGGCGGGCCGATCGAAAGCTCTTATCCGTTCCAATGGCAACTGGATGCTTTAGAGATCGACTTCGTGTCCCGATTTCCATACAGAATTCGATTTTTCGCCACCTGGCTGGCAAGGATCCAAGTGCAACCGGATGAGCTATCTTGCGTTACGTTCTTCGAGCTTCGGAATCGATTAGAGACACCGGGATTCTAGCTGTCAGCGTGAGCTCGTAGTCTCGGCGAACGTCGAGAGTTGGTTCCAGACGCGATTTATTCGCTGTTAGCTTCAGCGATATCGAAGGGTAGATCAGCAGGTTGACTCATCGAATTAACTTTATCGACAAATTGAATGACGAAAGCCGCGTGTCACAGATCGCTGCTCGATGCGGAGGACTCGATGACGAGGGTCGTTCCATGACGATAGAACGGAAACGGTTATCGGCGTGAATTACGAACGGTTCAGTGGCAGGAATAAGATGTTAATTAGTCAACACGGTTTCCAAGGAACGTGCATAAAGAACCGTCGATTAACCCCGATGCTGTTTTCCAAGAAGGCGCATGCATGACTCTGTCCCGCGCGACGTCTCGCCGACTATTGTTCTCCGCGGAAATTGCACCGTCTATAATCACGGCTGCATTCTTGAAAACCAGCGAGGAGACTTTTATTGCAGACAACCTAGATATCGTTGTTTGAAAGAGGCGCGAGTCGACCGCGATAAAACATTTCCCTGCGTTCACACGTGCGATACGCTCGCGATTAAGCGCTGCAGACTGGCTGAGCATGTGTCAAACCACTTCTTCGCACCACTTTTATCTCGCCTGTGCAATCATTTTTCACAGTTTCCACGGAAATAATATTTCCGTTGTACAATCTGATACACGTAATCCACTCGATCGAACAATATAAACGATGTCGTAATATAAAATTCGACTCGAAGTTACAACACTCGATGTATATCAATGGTGTGATCTATTTTAAATCTCTAGGCGCCTCGAAGGGTTTCTTTAAGATTTCGAATGCTTTTCTCGTGCTTTTTAGGGCGTTGGAGTATTTTGTTGCGTATAAGGTGCGTACGTCTAAATTGGAGATTTAGGTTTACCAGGATGAAAGCGATTTCTTTGAATTTTGGAAAGTTAAATTGATCCTTGCATCCAGGAATTACCAGGAACTTTATGACAGTAAATATGAAAGAGCGTGTAAGAAACAAATTAATTTTTTGCATTCAGGTATTCCAAGAATTTGCTCATCTAAGATCTAATTGTTTCTCTGAATTTCCTGAAACTCCTGAATCAATCTATCTCTGGAGGTTCCAAGAATTTGACTGTAAGTTTGTAAACGAGACCCAGTGTGCTTCGAAATACAGGAATTAATTCCTTGCATCCGAGTATTTCAAGAATTTAATCATTCGGAAGAGCTGGAGACTCAGATTCTCAGTGAATTTCTTGAATCTGCATGCAAATATACCAAGTAAGAACACGAGAAGCATCCCTTCCTTCTCTTCGACGAAGAAGAAACCGAGAGGAACTTGGAATTTGATATAACCAATTTCTTTTCACTCGTTAGATCGATGCAAATGGCGATGGCTTCATCAACCTCACGGAGCTGCGAAGTGCCTTGGACATTTGTGGCTTCAAGATGCCTGGCTACAAGGTGCGTCAGATGATCGAGGAGTACGACGACAAGCAAAGGTCAGAACACAAGGGGCGATTATCCTTCGAGGAGTTCGAGAAACTTTGCAAAGAATTGAAGGCCAACGAATTGGGATCCACGTTCAAGCAGGTCGTATCTAAAAAGGAGAACTTGGAGACGTTAGGTGGGATCTCCGAGGCGTCCAGCGAAGGGACCACTCATTCGGTTAGGTTGGAGGAACAACTCGCCTTCAGTGACTGGATCAACACGAATTTGTCACACGATCCTGACCTGAAACACCTGCTGCCTATCGACGCGGAGGGCAAAGCCTTGTATGACAAGGTTAAAGATGGAATTCTCCTTTGGTGTGTATTTATTTCACGTATAATGCCCCGGTTCTATTATTTATTTGCTATCATATGCATCTATCAGTTAATCGTAGCTTGACATTAAATTCTTGATGTTATTAAATATCTGGTAATAATATATTATTAAAAATCTGAATCGCAACACCATTGGTAACATCGTGTACCTTATTTCAGCAAAATAATCAATCACTCTTGCCCTGACACGATCGACGAGCGAACAATCAACAAGAAGAACCTAACTCTTTACAAGAAGCACGAGAACCTAACCCTGGCTCTGTCATCTGCTCAATCGATCGGATGTAATATCGTGAACATCGATGCTCACGATTTGATAAAAGGCTCTCCTCATCTCGTCCTCGGTCTCCTTTGGCAAATCATTCGAATCGGTCTGTTCAACCAGATCACCCTGGAAAACTGCCCAGGCCTGACCACGCTGTTGCAAGACGAAGAACGCATCGAGGATCTGCTGAAGCTATCTCCGGAGTCCATCCTACTCAGATGGGTGAACCATCACCTGGAAAACGCAGGTATCGCCAGACGATGCGACAATTTCCAATCGGACATCACCGACTCGGAGGTTTACACGTATCTCATCAAGCAAATCGCACCGAACACCGCTGGAGTCACTTTGGAAGCTCTAATGGAACCGAACCACACCTCCAGGGCGGAGATTATGCTGCAACAGGCGGCTAAGTTAGGCTGCCGCAGCTTCGTAACACCTAGCGACGTGGTTAATGGCATATACAAGCTGAATCTCGCCTTTGTCGCCAATATGTTCAATAATTATCCCGGTCTAGACAAGCCAGAGAGCAATATCGAGGGCCTGGAGTCGTTGGAGGAAACCAGAGAGGAGAAGACCTATCGTAATTGGATGAACTCCATGGGCGTGGTTCCCCATGTGAACTGGCTGTACTCTGACTTAGCAGACGGTCTAGTGATCTTTCAACTTTACGACATCATCAAGCCAGGTACGGTGAACTGGAACCGGGTGCACAAAAAGTTTACCAAGTTACGGAAGTACATGGAGAAGTTGGAGAACTGCAATTACGCGGTCGAGCTCGGAAAAACGATGAATTTCTCGCTGGTCGGGATCGGCGGTCGTGACATAAACCGCGGGAACGCCACGCTGACTCTGGCTTTGATCTGGCAACTGATGAGATCGTACACGTTGTCGATTCTCACGTCCCTGGCGGGCAAACAGGGTAGCACTCTGGTCGAGAAAGAGATCGTACAGTGGGTAAACTCGAAGCTGCAAGCTGCAGGGAAGACCAGTGGTATCAAGGGTTTCCAGGATACGTCGATATCGGATGGAAAGGTGGTGATCGATCTCATCGACGCCATCAAGCCGGGCTCTGTGAACTATGATCTCGTAAAGGAAGGTGGCACCGAGGAGGTGAGATGCAGTAATTGCTTTTTCGCCAAAGTTCCGCAAAAATTGGTCGATTTGTTGATTTTCAAGCTGCAGACTGAACTCGTCGAGCCGTTTTCTCTTTTAATGGATCGATTGTGCGTTTCTGAGTTACAGCCTCGTAAATGTCCCGCTCTCGAGTGAATTGTTTCTGTTTGCGAGGTTTTTCGTTGGTTCGTGGAAAATTGCGAATCGGTCTTTTAGAGACGTATAAAGATATAAGAGTGTTTGGTATATTACTGCTATTATGATGCATAGATGATGTAACAAGGTGCTAGAAGTTGAAGACGTTTGTATTGCTTTTGTGAAAAAAAAAATGTAGAATTCTTTCAATTTTTCATATATTCGATGCAAACTAGAGAGCGTTAACAACTTATATTTACAAAGTCAGTCCGTGTACTTTACTTTGAAAAATATCACGTATACTTTGTATACGCGCGAGTATTATCTTGCCAAAAATCAACATCGGTAGATCAATTTGCAAAAAATTATTTCTTCTATTCTTTTAAGCGGTACGTGCGATTAATCGACGTTGATTTCATCTTTTCTCGTTGTAGGAGAACTTGGACAACGCGAAGTACGCGATATCCTTGGCCCGAAAATGCGGCGCGCGTGTGTACGCGCTACCGGAGGACATAACCGAGGTGAATCAGGACATGGTGATGACGGTATTCGCCTGTCTGATGGCGATGGACTACATCCCCAATATGGATTCCGTGAAGCAGCAGAACAACGTGCTGAACAACAGTCAATAATGTCGCGCCGCGTGCGATTCGTCCGCGTGCAGTGTCCGCGCTGAACACGGGAGGAACTGTATCGACTGAGTCACGGTTTGCGTCGCACACCGTGTCTCTTTTACGAGCGTAATAATTGTATATACACCTAGGTTAGGGTAGCTTGTTTTCCAAAACGAAAGGAAGAGAAAGAAAAATGGCGAAGAAAGAGGAAATGCGAAACGAGAGAAGGGGAAGAATCGCTTAAGAGAAAGGAACGATGATTAACGATAGGGTTTCTTGCGTTGTCCGCTTGCTTGGCAGATATTCTTTAAGAAATACTAGTACACCGCAAGATTTGATTTAGAGTATGGGAGAAACAGAGATTTTTCGAATAGCGATTTTGAAATATATGGGTAGGTAAAATGGAATGTAGAGGACAAATTTCCGCGTAGACGTTGCGAGCGAATTTCAATTAAAAATCGTCTGAGAACGAGTGGGGGCTTTAGATAGCAGATTTTTCTTGTTCGTTGCGAAAGGTAGAAGATCTTGAAGAGAAGTATCCTGCTTATCGATCGCCAGTCGTCCTCCGAGTATTATGTATCGCGTGTGATACGGGATTCTCCTTCTCCGATGTTTTCACAATCATATCCTTGTCTCACTCTGCATATTCGTAACCGTGGTCTTTTTAGATTTGTATAAATCGATTTTGTAACGATCTGTCTCTGTCTGTCAATGGTATCGATGATGTAAAATGAAGGAAGAGTCGATATGAAGATTGCGACCTATCCGAAATATCCGGACACTGAAAGATCTCGGAAATCGAGAGAACGAAATAATTCGCGTATACCGGATATACGTGGCTTTCAGATTGTCGATTATATATATATATATACATATATACTATATTTACATTCTTAAATGATATATATACATTTGAGATGTGTACACGTATTTGATACTGTGAGCGTGAAATTGTCATAACTTTACAATGGCAATGTCTTCGACCAATCAGTCAATCAATCGATCAATTCAATTGAAACGAAATCATTAGATCGCTAAGAACCATGAATGCATTAAATTACAAAAAAAAAAAATCAAAAAAATACAATCCGCTTTATAAAGCTTTTGCAACACGTACCATTTTCTAATGTTCATATTTAAATAGATTTTCGTTACCGTTTCTAGACGAACATTTCTGAATATCTAATTTTAATCGATATACATACGTTTTAAGTAGCATTATGCCCAATATTTGGATGCGTTTTAAAGAAGTATTATAATCGAAGACAATGATTAAAATGGGAAAACAAAGAACGTTTATAATAATTGGAATTTCTCTTGTTTGTCAAACTGTGACTTGTCAAGCTTTTCGTTTTCGTATTGTACCCAGACGTTTCCGATAATTTAACACGGTGAGACAACCGCTGCAGCATGTGAACGTTTCCATATACCCTCGATAAACGAAACAAACGCACAAGGATCATTGTAATCGTGCCATTATAAATATCGAAATCGTAATCGTGATTGGACGCTTGTTACAATATTTAACGATCGATTCGAACAGAACGTACTTATGTATTTAAAAATGATGCTGGAGCGCAAACGAACGCGTTACCGATCGCTCTTCCTTTAAACTATATTATACAGCGAGCGACGAAATAACGCTAGTTCCTCTTGATATTACGCGCGTTTTTATATCTGTGGCGCGCATGCGCCGATACAAGGAGCGTACCTTACAGCTGAAAGTGTAAGTTACTCAACGAATCATTTCGTAGTTCGAAACTGGCAAGCAAAGCGGAAAGGCGATTGACTGAATCTACTTTATACTTGTACTTTTTTCTTTTTAGAAAAACTTTTGCATATTACATGCAATTAAATATATACGTCGCGATCGCGGTAAATGATACATTGAGGTTAGGAAAAACTTTATAGAGAACGTTGTATAGAAGTTCAGCTTTTAGACAAGTTTTAGGGATCATGTATTGTTGCTACGTTTCGAAAATGAATTTATAGTGCTTTCTTTTTTACTACGACTATGTATACGTTTGTTACGTCTCGCCTAAATTAAGGTTAAAAATCTTAAGCTAATCGACACGAATCTATATGAGAAACTAGGTAAATCGATCGTAGTTCGAAAATTAAACGAAAGTGCAATCTATCGATACTTGTGGCATTCCTTCGTGGAAACAAAACGAAAAGACACGTTTCTTGAAGAACGGGGACACCATTAAGCATTTCGTCGTTAATTAAGGGTTTATGATTTTTAGATGAAATCACACGTTATTGCTTTATGTTATCCATTCCACAGATAACACTCGTACCAGGCTGCATTTCTTCTCATATCAGGATGCGAAATTACAGTTCGTGTGTCCTGAATCGAGATGGTCGAATTTGAGGAATAGAAAAGAGATGTAAGGATATTCGAAACGCCGAATAAACGTTTCATTTTCCCTTTTGTAATTTTAGCGAGTATCGCGACGTAAATCTCTTAAGAGGGCCGTTTGCAATCTGCGCACCTAGATTTAAGATTTAGTCAGGAGAGGAAGAAAGTTTCTGCTTTGTTCCATAAAAATGGGGTTATGTTAGGAGATGAAGAAGGACGGGAATACGTGTGAATACGAGAGAAAGATCATCAGTTAAGCTAAGAATTTTTTTCGTGTATTTTTGTTTTAATCGATTCGTCAATGAATTTCAACTTACAATGATCGCTGAATTAAACAAAAAAAAAAAGAAAATGCGTACGTTCACATACACACAAGATTCTGTGCGTCATGAACGTGTGTGTGGGTCACCGTAGATATACAATTTAATGTATCCGTAATTTAAATAAAAAGAAATTTATCTAATAAGATTTATTGGATCTCTCATTTTTATAATCAGGTAGAGGAAAATCTATTTTTTAAAATATATAATAAGGTAATATTAATACAGCAAGATATACAACAAACGATATATCTCCTATGTTCGACTATTTTTTAATGAGGACTCTATATTTCTTATGATATATTCAATATCGTATTCTATTTTCCATTATATTATCTTCTCCATTTTTATTCCAGAATTTAGTATCGATTTGAATTTTTATTTTATTCCTTAATGTAGTCTTTTCAAAGTACTTTAAATACCGTTCAATCCATCGAAAATATTCTGTTCACCATTGAATTTGCCATGATAGATGTCGTCGATGCTTCTGGAATTTCAGCTGTTTCTCGTTTGGCGGCGCGAACGTCTCGAAAAGATAAACTTATGTATTGCGATATAGCCGACAGGTTTTTCTTTTCGTCTGATCCCATAGTACCTATCCTTGTCAACGATGAGACGAACTGATAATCGCTCACAAAGATACGACTAGTCGAGCTTTCCTAAAAATCAGAAAAAAAGAGAAAATGTAAGAATCATTCGAATTATACAACACAATATTTTTCTTATATAAATAGCTTTCAGTATTTGCGAAAAATCATGATGGATGATACAATAATATTCGTTATAATAACATTAAAAAATTTCTTTTCAGTCTGTCACTTACTAAATGCGATTTGAGATCAGGTTCGACCACGATGTTGGCGCCGTAAGATCCGAAGTAGAAGGGGGCGTAATGACTGCAATTATTTAGGTTAGTCGTTTTCTGAATCACTATAGTCTCGCTCGGAACTTTGTTCAATTGTGGTAGAGATTCCAGCTCGTATCGATTGCTCTTTATTTTATTCATCATCCTCTTCGAGGGATAGTGATTTATCCCAACCGTGACGTTACACTGTCCGATCGTCGTATTTTCCAAAATTTCGAACGTCCCGTCAGGTACACCATTCAAGTCGGCCCCAATATTGAATCGTTCCGCGATCAGTTTAATGTCATTCAAATGATCGACTTTCAGTTGATTGTTCACTATCAAATAATCGACACCGAACTCGTTGAATTTTATTTCGAAAGGTTCCTCGGGATACAACTGTTTCAGTTCTTCCTCTGGTATGTCGATTTTATTGTCGTTCGTAATGTCCACGCTTTGTCGTCTCACATTTCCCATATGACAATTCAATCCATCTGAACCAGTTGGTCTGCAGAAAAGGTTCATGACTGTGTAGTTAGACCGTTGTACCCCATCGTGATTTAAGGGGCTTGAAGTGATGTTCATTTCCACATCGAAGACGTATTCGGGTCCATGTTTCCAAACACTCTCATCGACTGTCACTTGAGCGACTGAAAGGAAAAAGGTTTTTATTAATTTCTTTTATTTTATTTATTTAATTTTTTATTAGTTCCGTTTAGTGTTATGTTTTCTTTTAAATGTTCTTATATACACATTTTATATGGTATCTTTGTTGATCATAATCTCGGAAATTTTTCTTAAACACTGACCTAGTCTACGCAACATTTGCTCCATCTGTCATAATCGGTTCAATGTAACAGAATTCTGAGTTTACTAGTATCGCGGTTACCCTTTGTTCGCGAAAAGATAATTGAAAACCATATCGCGAAAGAACATGCGAAGCGAATACGTAATTAATAATTATTCATTTTGTACATTGTTATAAAATGATTAATGTTTCCGATCGTTTACTCTTTATGTCAACGGAAGTTATGATTTGCAATTAGTTATGAATTATCGTTCGCATAAGCAGTTCCTGGCCCGATTCAGACAGATTGATGATAAAGACGGTTAAATGGAAAATTGGCTTACCGACCTAAGAAGAACGGAATTAATGAGGCAAGCATGTCGTAGCACTGCTCTCAACTGGTTTAACACTCTTCTTCGGCTTGAAGGTCCTTTTATATCGCCGATATACTCTGACGACCTCGTCGTGTAATTTAATTAAACCGTCCCACCATCAGCGATGTAGTCATTAAGCTACTTCAATATGAAACACTCGTAATTTGCAAGAAGATGAATGAAATCCTGCGTTTTTAATCTTTAGATCGGTAAACAATTATATCCTTTCTTTTAGAATTACATAAACAAGATACGATGTTTGCATCGCTAACATTTATATATAATAGGTACAGTATTTGTGAAGCATGTACGTAATTATTAATCGCTATATCTGTGATGAACGTAGATTAGAATAAACACAAATTATTCTTATTAATTACGCACTGTATTTCTAAATTCGATATTAAAGCCATGTGTCAGTTTCAAAACTATCTTGATAAAGGAAGTAACGTTATCTACTATACCGATCATTGCTAATTCTACGTTAGAATAGTATTCGAAATTACATCCCATGGTAACAGGAAACTTATCGATAGAGATTTCCGCATTATATTTCACATTACCAGCATTATATTAAACCTTCTAACAATGAATTATATTCAAATTAAATCAAAACAATTACAATTTCTTTATAGTACTTTTATTTTTCTGAAATCCTGAAAGATAAAATTCTTCTTTGCAATTCTCCTGACATCCACGTTCATCTTTGTTTTTTAAACATATACGTCTTTTCGACAGAATTGTTTCTATAGTCTTGCAGGTAAATATATGTTTACTATTAACTGTCGCATTACGAAGTGTTTACAGAAATAATAATTGCATAGACACGCACGTCCAAATAAAATTTGTCAATATCTCTGAAACAATTAAATTAAAAATTTTAAATTCGTTCCTTCATACTTCCTACCGATTTAGATATCGTCTTCATTGATCAGAAGAGTCTTTTGGAACTATTTACAGCTTAATACCGATTAAGATTAATTGGCTTGCTGACCTAGAAAGAATGGGTTTAATACGAAGTTTATATTGTCGCAGCGTGTTTAACTACGGAATTGCCCTTCTTGCAGTTGAAAGCTTCTTTACTACAGTGGCCACGGTGAAAAGATTACCGGGCACGTTATAACGAGCCTGCCTGTCTACGACCGCATTTACGTCTGCTAATTCGATGTACTCCTTGTCAGTAGCGTATATAGAACTTTTGTCCCCCACGTGGTTCGTTCGATATACAATACACTTCTTACGATACACTAAAAATATTGCAAACATTGAACACGTTAAAAAGCAAATTCGCAACGATTGTAGACGATTGTTGTGTCGCCAATCGTTGACGGGAGTTGTAAGCATAGTTATAAAAAATTAATAATTATCGAATAATAAAAATTATTAAGTTCATATAAATAGAAAAATCGTCGAAAAACAAAATTGAGTCTCAGGTGCAAAGTGTCAATCCCAAAAAGGTAACACCGTTTAAAACGAAAAGACCGTTTACCTCGTTTTAATCGGAAATAAAATTATTCGATTAACAATGTGACCTACTGCGAGCTGGCAAAATCAGCTGCCACTTTGACACTTCAACGACCATAATTTCTACTATGAGTGGCTCGTGTTGTCGAAGTGTGTTATTCTATTAAACTCGTTAGGTGGCGAAGCAAGAGGCCACTTTTGTCTCGTTTGCATTACTTGAATAACAAAGGGAGAAAACAATAAATGAATTAGCACAAATGACTGTTTATAATGTCAACACGAATTTTAATCTGTATTATCCACTGTGTAATTTTGGTAGAATTGATTTTCCTGGAAACGAATCCGGAGTCGAAATTGCTCTATTGTCCTCAGTTTTCGAAAATTGTTTTCCTTATATTATAAGAAATTTATCTGAATCAATTGTCATTTAAGACAGTTTCGTCATTCGATACGTAAAAACGAATGACTTTTTAATATAAAGTTGATGAAAATTAAATTCCTAAATTATTTTTAAGATGAGAATGAACCTTCTAATGTCTTACGTTACAGGGTAAATAAAAATGAAGGAGAAATAAAAATATTTTCACATACATGCGGGTTTATAAAACATAGTTTATAAAACATGTATAAATTATCAAATTTATTATTAATAAGAAATAGTTCACGACGTAAATTTATAATAAAAATGAAAAAATTAATAAATTATTGGATATTACTTCAACTTACAAAATAATTGTGTAAAAATGTATCTATAATTTACAAAAAGTTTATAAATTATTACATTGATTGTTAATAACAAATTAATATTGTTATTAACAAATTGTTCACAAGGTATATTTATAATAGAAGTGAAAAAATTAATAAATTATTGGCTATGAGGGCAGAAAAATAATAATTAATAGAATGGGTAAAATTCGGAAATTTCCGTCAATTTGTAATAGCATAAATTTATAATACAAGAAAAGAAATAATTCATTGGTTATTACTTGAACAATATCATACTAATGTTTAAATGTACCTATAATTTGCAAAAGTGTAAAAATTGTTACACTTATTTCTAATAACAATTTGGGCACAAATTAAATTTATAATACAAGTGGAAAAATTACTGAATTATAAGCTATTACTAGTATATATATGACGTACTTGCGTGAAAATGTATATATAATTAGCAAAAAGTTAATAAATTGCTACATTTATTGTTAATAACAAATATTTTGCAACGTATATTATCGACAAAAGTAAAAAAAGTTAATAAATTATTAGCTACTACTTAAACAAGCAACGTATTTGTGTTAAAATGTATTCGTAACTTAAAAAAGCTAATTAATTAATAAATTTATTGTTAATAGCAAATTAAAATTCCTGATAACAAATCGTTTGTAACGTATATTAACGATAAAAGTCAAAAAAGTTAATAAATTATTAGCTACTACTTAAACAAGCAACGTATTTGTGTTAAAATGTATTCGTAACTTAAAAAAGCTAATTAATTAATAAATTTATTGTTAATAACAAATTAAAATCATTGATAACAAATAGTTTGCAACGTATATTAACGATAAAAGTGAAAAACGTTAATGAATTATTAGTTTATACAACGAAAAGTAACTCTTAAAGGAATCGGTAAAGTTCGGAAATTTTCGCCGACCTTCGGCCGGCCGTCGCTATATAAGGGGCCCGCGTGCAGGATCAAGCCAGTTGTCGGTTCGACTTCGGAAGGTGCGCGTTAATATTTTTTCTTTCAGATACTAATTATTTTTTGTTTCAGGATTTAATTATCTTTCTTCTTTCAGATTCTATTTCTTTTACTCTAGATTTCATTGTATGTGCATTCGAGTATTTTGTACAATATTCGAATGCTTCGTCGTTGGTTTAGTTGTATAACATCGTTGGCTAGATCAATGGCTATTCAATGACCATTGTCCACATTCTTAAATAATTTAATAATAATTCTTTCAGGTACTAATTACTTTTTCTTTCAGGTTTTAATTATCTTTCTTCTTTCAGATTTTATTTCTTTCATTCTATTTGTCTCTCTTTCAGCATTCGAGTATTTCGTACAATATTCGAATGCTCCGTCGTTGGTTTACTTATATATCATCGTTGGCTAGATCAATGGCTATTCTCAGTGGCCATTGTCCACTTTGTTAAATAATTTAACAATAATTTCTTCTTTCAGGTTCTAATTATTTTTCTTCTTCCAGATTTTATTTCTTTATTCTATTTGTCTCTTTGTTTCAGCATTCGAGTATTTCGTATAATATTCGAATGCTTCGTCGTTGGTTTACTTATGTCTCATCGTTGGCTAAATCTTTCCTTTCACAAATTTTACGACTTCCGTTC